ATAATAGTCATTATTCTAGGACTAAAAAAACTTAAGTATTTTAATTCATTTATGTATTCTATAATTAAAAAATTAAAAGAACTTGAAGGTATATATATAATTTAATTTTTTTAATACCTAATTACATTTTTAATTAATTTATTTTTATAATTATTTAGATAGAATTGATTAATATAATGAATTAATGAAAGAAATTTTTATATTATATGCATATGTATTATTATAGTCAGGTAATATACCAGGTCTCACAAAGCTTATGTGTCTTACTGGTCATAATTCTTACAAAGGATATCAGTTTTGTAATATTTATAGTATTTATATAAATCATATATAATTTCTAACTACACCTCCAATTGGCTATAAGGAATGTAGAATTTATAATTCTAAAAATTTGCTTTTATGTACTCATAATCAGTTTAGAGATTATATTCATCAATTAAACTAAGCAAATACATCAAAAAAAAAAGAGATGATTTAGTAACAAAGTTTGGTATATATGCTAAATTTATAGAATACTTATCAATTATTTATTTATTTTTACTTAATTTTAATAATAAGAATAAAAGAGTGTAGTATATTATTTGATTTAAAAGCACCACAATTTTCAAATTCTTTTCTAGTAGATTTTATATATCTTATTTATAAAAATATAACCAGCTATATATTTAAATTTTGGATTAAAATTTTTGAAAAAATAGTAAACAAGATAATAGTGATTATGTGCTTGACAAATCTGTATAAAATGAAATTAAAAATGAAATGCATAATGTACGAATAATACTTTTAGCTTATTTAGAATAACTACTATATAATATAGCTTTTTATCATAATGAATACAAAGTATAGGAGTGGTCAACATGGATAACACTATATTCTCTACCTCTTTTAAAAAAACAAATACCAAAAACACTATATTGAATAGGTTAATTTTGTTAAAATTATACGTTTATATCAAAAATTAATATTAATTGCACAAGATGTAGAAGATATTCAATTTTTATTTCAATCCTTTTACAGTTATTATGAAAGATAAATAAATAAACATTAGATAATAACTTAAAAATATTATTTATTTAATTTATTATTATTATCTTTAGAAAATATTATTGTATTAAAAAGAATATATTAGTATAATAAAGCTATATTTTTATAACATATTATATATTGCTGATAGTATTAAAAATACTGGTCTATATTGAGCTACTTGGTAGTTTTTAATAGAACAAGGATGTAGAATGCTTCTTCTTTTAGTCTGATCATGCCTTCACTCTTATAATAACATAATTAATAATATTTACATTTGGGAACTTTTTAATAATTTGCAATTTTATCAACTTTTTATCAAAAAATTTTCCTATTCAATAGATAATAATCATAAAATCACCTTATATTTTCTCGACCCAAAAAAGCTAAAGAGTTTTATTTTCTAATAAAAAAATATCAACTTAATCAAACAGAATTAAAAAAAAATAAAGAATATTTTTTTAGTATATTATAATGTTGTAAATCAAAACTTAAGGTAAATTTATATTAATATGTACTATTATTTTTTATTAAATTTTTTAATAATAATTCAATTTTTTTATAGACCTTTTTACAAAATGATACAAAATATAAATGCTTGCATACAAAAAGATGGATTTTATATTAGCTCAAAATGGATTAAGAAAAATTCAGATTAAGCCTAAACTAATTATTTAAGATATAAAATTTATATTATAATTATTAATATATTTCTTTAGATATTAAAAATAATTAATTTATTATATATAGGCTATTATAGAGGTAGATAAATGATCTACTTTTCTAAAAAAGGGATCTAAATTTATTTTGAAAACCTTTATGGAAATATTAAATATTATTTAACATATAAATTTAACAAAAAAATTTATTTGCTAGCATACATTCACTAGACTATAAATATTGAAAAAAATAATGTAAAATTCTTATTATTTTCAAATATGATGTTTATGAATTTATTGATACTTATGTAATTGATCATTATATTAGATTTTTTAATTATAATAGAATATATTATATAATAGATAAGAAATCTAAAGAATTTCTTAAGGAGATAAATTTCGTATATTATATATGATCCAGTGCAAAAATATTTGTATACTGAAAAAAACCACTAATAAAAAAAATTTTATTAATTAAACTTTTTTTTTATTATTTAAATAATATTAATATGTATCGGAAAGTATAAAAACGTAAAAATTGAATCAAATCACGTGATCATCATCAGAACTACTATAATTGTCAAATTCATTATCAATTAATTGTACGTTTTCGTCAGATGCAAAATATTCCTTAGCGTTATTTAACACCTTTCTCCAAAGCCTGATAATAACTTGTGAAGTAATTTTGTATTTAAATGCATCTAATAGTTTGTTTCAGATAGATAAAAGATTTGGATGTGAGCCCAAACGTACAACTTCACCCTTTACTACTGGCCAAACACTTCAATAGGTTGAAGTTCACAATGATATGGAGGGGTAAAATTAATTTTATGTTCGTACTATTCTGCTATTTTAACACAAGAAAAAGGAACCTTTTCCTTATTCATTTGTACTAGTTTCAAAAGTTCTGGCTTTCTTAATTCACCAGAAAAAGAAATATCATGTGTATTTAACCAGTCAACTATTTCTTGTTTTTTTGCACTTGAAATTGAAATGTTTTCTACTCGCCGTTTATGGTAACTAGCTCCATCTATATGGATGATTACTGACCCATATTTTTCATGAAGATTTTTACACAAAGTTGTAAAAAGATTCTCAAATATTTCTGCATTGAAGTTTCCGTGATAATCTACCTGATTTGAAATGATATTAGCATCCTTAATGATATCGAGAATATTGTTTCATTCTTCAGCATTGTTTCTTTTCTGAACTCTATTTCCTAGAGGTTTAATTTTTGGATCCCAAATATGAATAGAGTTCAGAACAAGTTCACCATGCAGTTTATTGGAGGACCCATTTCGAAATACTATAATTGCACCAAAAATTATTACTAACGGTCTATGCCCAGGTGATAAAATAACACCTTGATGGGAAATTCATATGTTTCACGAAATGTGATGCAAATGGCAATACAACTCATCAAGGAAAACCTCTAGGTGATGTGAAACATTATTTTTACCTTCCAAATTAGCAAACCTATAACGAAGATAATGGCAACGGAATGTAACATTATTTGGTGATTTATGAAGGATTTTCCTTCGCTCTCCTTGGCCAAAATAATATCCCAAGCGATGTAGTACCCGAAGGAGCTTCCATTTAGAAATGGTATATCCTTGTTCAGAAAGAAATTGTCTTAGAATAGGTGTAGAAAGATGTTCACCTGCTTTATTAGCACTTAGAACCTTCATACGTAAAAGCTCAGCTATATTTTCATCAGGTTTTAATATAGGTCATCCAAGAACTTTGTGTGGTATAAATGTATTATTACCATAGCTGTTCCAATCTGACATAATACTTCCAATTATACCCTCAGATACATCTAATATCTCAGCAACCTGCTTGTGTAATAGTAGTTTCTGAAGGCTTTTCCTTATAGATTTATCTCTCTTAAAGTATTTGTGAATGTTAATTATCATCAATTTTTCGTTATCCATCAGTGATGTGTCATTTCGTTTTAAAAAAGGAAGATTCATGGCATAATAAAAAAACTTGTGGGAAAAAATGTGTTTGGTTATGTTCTAATAAATATTTAATTTTTAGCCTACTTTATTTTAGTGATACGATATTTATTTTAGCGTAAATCTTTTCTTTTTTTGGCGGTGTATAAATCTTTTTGCACCAGACCATAATTAGTATATATTAATTATTGAATACATTTTATATATATTATTTATATATAGCTTCAAATTGATAAAACATTTAATGTATATTTTGTACATCTTAAAAAAGATAATTTTAAAAATATAGTTGATTTTTAAACAAATAATAGATATACTAAACATTATATAGATAAAATATATTATTTTATATATAATTTATGGATAATGTATTTTTATAGGGTAAAATTTCTAAATACAATATTAACTTAATATAATACAATTAATTAATATAATGAATATGATGAATATATAAAAAATAATAAATAATATGATAATAAAACAAATATAAAAATAAAACTTATTATAGTTATTTTAACATACATAATTGATATAATAAATATAATGATATTTTTAACATTTTCATTTTTTTTTCACAGTTTATTGCACTCTTCGTAAATACCATTTCTTGTAATAGCTTAAATAAAAAAAAATTTTAAATTTTTAATAATTAAAATTAATTGAAAAAAAAATAGAAATTAACCAAAAAATAATATAAAAAATATAACTAAAAATAAAAATTTTAATTTTTTTTTTAAAAAAATTAAAAAAAATAAATTAAAATTATCATTATAAATTGAAATTAAAAATAATATATAAATTACATCAATTATGAGTTAATAGAACCAGTTATATTTTTAACATTAATAATTAGGATATTATTTATTTAAAAATATTTTTAATAGATATGCTAAAACTTTAAAAAATTAAGTTTTTTACATCTATTTTACATTGTAATGATAAAATCCTAGGTGAAACTGCTAGTTAATGATCATAAAAGCAATTTATTTTAAATTTAGGCATGAATATTTGTCAAAAAATTTACGTCTTTCATATATTTTGTAAATAAATGACTAATTCAACTTTTACACTATATAAGAAACTTTTAATAATTATGCAATCATTATTTTACATTTAAAATAGATTCAATTTTTTATACAACTATCAATTTAAAATATGATATGCGATTTTTATTATCATAAGTTTATACAAGTATTGAGCAAAAATTAGAAATATATTTTATCGTCACCTCGTTCATAACTGAGAATATCATTTTTACTCAAAAGGTTTGACTATCTTATTTTGTATAAGTTTATAAAAGACTAAGTAATATTTATATAATATTAAAGATTAATCAATTTGATTTTATTTATCTTATGACTCAATTTAAAATGGAAGTATCCTTTAAATTAGAATGAAATCAGCTAAATTTGTAATAAATGTAATGTTAACATAAACAATTAAATTTTAAATATAAGATATTTTAATTAAAATATTATGACCAAGTTTAAAAACTAAAAAAATATTATTAAAAAAAAAATTATATCATATACATTAAAATACTAAAAGTCTAATAGATGAGCTAAACTTTCTTTAGCTTCTTAACATCCATTTTCTACAGCTTTCTTATACCAATAAATAGCATTTTCTATATTCTTATCAGTTCCTTTACCATGTTTATATAAATATGCAAGACTTTTTTGTGCATTAATATTACCATTTTCTGCTGCTTGTTTATACTAATAAAAAGCCATTTCTAAATTCTTTTCTATACATTCACCATATTGATAATATGTGGCTAAATTATACATTGAAATTTCATTACCATTTTCTGCTGCTTTTTGATACCAATAAATAGATTTTTTTAAATTTTTTTCTATACCTTTTCCATATTGATAACATTTAGCTAAATTATACATTGCAATTTCATAATCATTTTCTGCTGCTTTTTGATACCAATAAAATGATTTTTTTAAATTCTTTTCAACTCCTTTGCCTTTATCATACAAAGATGCAAGATTATTCTGTCCTCTAATATATCCATTTTCTGCTGCTTTTTGATACCAAAATAATGCTTGCTTCCAATTCTTTTCTTTTATTTTACCTTTTTCATATAATACTATGAGCATATTTTGTGCATTAATATTACCACATTTTGCTGCTTTTTGATACCAGTTAAAAGCTATTTCTAAATTCTTTTCTGTACCTTCTCCATATTGATAACATAAAGCTAAATTATACATTGCATATATATTATCATTTTCTGCTGCTTTTTGAAACCAATAAAATGCTTTTTTTAAATTCTTTTCTATACCTTCTCCATATTGATAACATAAAGCTAAATTATACATTGCATTTATATTATTCTTTTTTGCTGCTTTTTGATACCAATAAAATGCTTTTTCAAAATTCTTTTCTATACCTTCTTCATATTGATAACATAAAGCTAAACTATACATTGCATCTATATTATTATTTTTTGCTGCTTTTTGATACCAATAAAATGCTTTTTCAAAATTCTTTTGTATTCCTTCACCTTTTTTATATAATAATGCAAGGTTAAATTGTGCAAATTTATTATTCTTTTCTGCTACTTTTTGATACCAATAAATGGCTTTTCCTAAATCTTTTTCTGTACCTTCACCATTATTATATAAATAACCAAGAAATGCTTGTACATTATCATATCCTTTTTCAGCTAAATTTTTATATATTTTAAATGCTTCTTCTTTATTAATATCAATTCCAATTCCAAAATAATAGCAAACTCCAAGCTTATATTTTCCATTTATAAATTCTTTATCATAAAAATTTTTATATATTTCAAATGCTTTTCTTTCATTTTTTTCTATACCTATTCCTAATTCATAACATCTACCTAAATTAAATAATCCACATAAATTTCCATTATTAGCTGCTATTTGATACCAGTAAAATGCTTTATCTAACCTTTTATCTGTTCCTATACTACTTTCATAATAAATACTAAGATTTAGCTGTCCATAAATACTTTCACTTTCTACGGCTTTTTGTATCCATTTAAAAGCATTATCATAATTTTTCTCAATTCCAAATCCTTCTTTATAACAATTTGCAAGATATACTTGTGCAATAGGACAAATATCTTCATTTTCTTTAGAAGCATTTAAAAATAATTTAAATGCTTCACTATAATTTATCTTAATGTAATTACTATTTAAATACAAAAATCCCAAGAAAAATTGATATCTTGATTCCACATGACTTTCGTTAAGCCATTCCAAGATCTCATTTACAGTTCGATTTGAAAGAAATATACAATGATCAATAAAATGTCCGGTTTCAATGAAATTATTTCCTTCATCGTGTGATTTAATTAAAAGCTTAATTAGCTTACATATAAGAATATCCATACTATCTTCTATATTAAATATTTCCCTAAATAACTTTTCTGCCTGATATAAAATATGTTGTGAATTGCATTCATTATATATTGAATCTAAATTGCAATTCTTTAAGTTGCTCAGAAATAATTCAGAATTATTACTATACATGCATTTAAAGTTTACTGTCTCTGATTTATTTTCTGAAAGAATAACGGAATCAATTTCATCATTATTTTTTCCAATAATTATTGATTGAAGTGAGTTTACGACTTGTTGCATAGTAGGACGTTCATTTGGGTCATATTTCCAACATGCTAATAAAATTAATGAGTTAAATGATAGATTATTAAATAACGACACGTGAATATAAGTAAATTTCACTAATATTTACCTTCAAATAGATTACTATATTCAATAGGAGTATTCATGACTATTTGTTCTCTCATCCCTTCTCTAATTTTCATAATTAAATTTGCATCATAATCTACATTTTCGGCATAAAAAGGTTTATGCCCACTTGAAATTTGCCAAAGAAGTACTCCAACACTATAAACATCAGACTTTGGGTTTAATATGTAATGTTGGTCTTTGTTCTTATTTTGAATATTATTCAAATATTTTGGATCAATATAAGGAACAACACCAAACACATCTGTTGAATAACTTGACGCATCAATTATTTTTCGCGATAAACCAAAGTCTGCCAATTTTATATGGTTCTGATGTACAAGTACATTTTGCGCATGCTAGGTAAAAATAAAAATAAAAATTATCTTATTTATATAAATTATCGATAACAAACAAAACAAAATTATTCTTACCAAATCACAGTGAATAATTCCTTCGTTATGCATACATGCTACAGCATTTGCAAGTTGCAAGGCTAGTTGATTTTTACAACTCCATTCTAGGTTATTAAAATTTTCCTTTAAATAAGATTGCAATGATCCACCATCAGCGTATTCCATAACCAACAAGTACTTGTTTGTTACATCCGATTTTGATATCCCATAAAATTTTATAATATTTGCATGATAATCAACTTCGCGTTGCATTTTTATCTATTTTTTATAGCTTAAATAAGTTAATATGTTTTTTTAATAGTAAATTACATTGTTATAGTTTACCTCATTGACCATCTCTTTAATAGTCAAATTATAGGAATGTTTAGAGCCATGATAGTATCAGAACCTTTCCAATTCGCGCAAGAAACATTTCCATAAGAACCGTAGCTAATTTCTTCCCAATTAGTGAATTCGGCAAAATCATAATACTTGATATAATTTTCCGATATCGCTCTTTTTAACCAATTAAAATCAGCGTTGGAATTATTTATTTCGGTTGTTGACATGATTGTTAACAGAAAGTTTTTTTGTCCAAAGTCAAATTAATAATTTTCGTACGCCTTAAATAGTTACGCCTTTAATTTGTGTATCAAACATACTTCATTATATATAGACTAGCACCAATTTATATCGGACCATTATGTGTACAGATTTCGCGGAAATCCGATTTTTGTCACACCCTCAAGAAAATCACTTACGAATGATTTATTAACGTTTAACATAATAATAATCACTATCATTTAAAATAAATGTTATTGTTTATTAACACTTGATTTTTTTAAACTTCTCTCTTGAAAATCTCTTGCATGGTGAAGCCAAAATTCTAAAATAAATAAATTGATTTTATAATTTAACGCAACGAGCTTAAAAATCAACTTGGTCAAAATTTCTTCAATCCATGTTAGAACATAATATTGCTTATTCTATCTATCTGATATCCATACAATTATTAAATATTCATTTAATATTGAATTTTGAATACCCTTTCCATATATAATTGTATTATGCAGGAATAAAAAGAAATTAATTGTATTGAAATATCAGTGGGATTATTTTATTTTAGCTCAACGGAATTAATTTGAGAGAAAGAGGATTGATAATATTAATGGTTCAATCAGACTTTTGAAACAAGGCTTACATATTATACAGTATGTTTATAATTTAAATGAACTTTCTCGATGGCATGACATGTGTAGCAATTACGTTGCGTAATCCAAAATTTTCTATGGATCAAAGATCCAATAATCGGATACCGCTGTGAATCTTTTATGATCATAGTTCAACAACGACTAGTTGTACTAAATGTCAAACTGTACGAAAAATATTAGGTAAATATTACAAATATCGATAATTAATCAAAATAAATTTTTTATTTTGGTATTATTTAATTTTAAAGATTCGTTGAGACTTTACTCAAAAGGGTGAATGAATTTAGATAAACAATTATTTTAAATTATTCTCTTTTATAAAAAAAACAGAGTTAGGCGAAGTCAAATGAAAGAATAATTGAAAGCATATAAATTTATAACTTCTATTATTCTTTTTACACGAGAATTTGTTTAAAAACAAACACGAGACCGGGATCATCGGGAAAATATGCAGGTTGTGACACATTTGCCGGTTGACTGGATATCTATTTAATAGGATGTGTTTTGAGAAATTCCAGAAAGAAAAATATTTATTATAATACATATATTTGAAAAACAAAAATTTTTCAAGACTTGCATTGAAATTTGTGAAGTTTCATCATCATCACTCCAAGCCGAGAATAATGCTAGATTTGAGTGACATGACCGAATATAAATAAACATGCACCTAATAACTCAACAATAATGAAAATAAAAAAAGAATCAAATTTGACCTATTTTTGTGAGTTAACGAATGATTTTCATATTTTTAGCATATTTGCATGCATTAATAAATTGTATTAATGAAGTGGGGAATTCATCAATCTTTGGATTGAAGAATTATTGGGTAATGCCAGATTTTTCCCACCCGAAATATTATTGTCGAATTTTCCATCATCACATTTAAAATTTCAAACTTTTTACAAATCTTTGTACTTTAACGTGTAATCTTCCTTCTTATATAAAAAAAAAAAAAAAAAAAAAAAAAAAAAAAATGATAAAATAAAATATGAAAATTAGACGATTGCATCTTTAATTTTTCGCGCCAAAATTATTGGTAACTGATCGATCGACGCATTACTTTGATATTGTGAATATCCTGACCAAATTCATCATTCTGAAACGATCCATAATTCGATTTTACAGAAATTTAATTTAATTACTTTTTGTAACCAAAAGTTGCGTCCATTATACACAAATATTTGGAATGCGAATAAATGAATTTATTCGTAAAGAAAAAAAGAACATTTATTATAAATATAGGAATACTGTACGGTTTTGTAAATCCAATTTTTTTATAAAAAAAAAAAAAAAAAGAAAAAATTTTTTTTATTAAACATGAAACAATCAATTAGTTATAAATTAAAGATTAATTATTTAATTTCAAATGATACATCCCTAAGCCAGCAGTCTCGACCTACGGCTAAATTAAAGTATCAGAAATGCAACGAGTGTAATCGAAACAGAAAACATTTTAATAAAATTCATCAAGTCTGTGAACAATGCTATAATGATATAGCATTTCTTATACCCAGCGGTAATAAAGTCATCGATGATTTTATAAGATCAACACAAACCAATCGTGATAAGGTTGGAAGGATGGAATTTGTTCCCTATGATAGATTTAAAGACTTGGAATTTATTGCCGAAGGAGGATTTAGTAAGGTATATAAAGCAACTTGGATCGACGGTCCGATCAGGTGTCAGAGTGGAACAAAATATCAGCGTATTGGTCAAAAAACAGTTGCCCTCAAGAAACTTAATAATTCCAAAAATTTCAGTTCTAAAGAGATGAATGAGGTGCGGTATTCCATTTTTTTTTAATAAAGTATTATATAAATTACGAGACAAATAACATTAAAAGTTTTTTTTTATTAATATCATTTCAGTTGAAATTGTATCATGAATTTTATTTAAAATGGAAAAATAAGAATAAACATGTTCGGGTTAATTATACAATACTTGAAACATATAGTCGTATCAATAGATATTTTGGGATTACTCGAGATCCGATCACAAAAGATTTCATGATAATTATGCCATATTATGAATCAGATCTAACACATTTCATCTCAAAGAATTTTTTCAATCTCACTTGGTGGGATAAGTTACTTAAATTGATCGTCATTATCGAAGGGCTTAATAATATGCATAGTATGAATATTATTCATCGAGATTATCACAGCGGAAATATCTTTTCTTCAGGAGTGACCGGTGATTTAGGGATAAGTAAATTCGGTACGGAATCATCAGACCCTGACGGTAATGATATTTACGGGATTATTCCTTACGTTGCCCCGGAGATCTTTCAAGGGCAAGGATATACTAAAGCTTCGGATGTTTATGGATTTGGTATGATTATGTGGGAATTCTTGACAGGCAGAAGGCCTTTTTGGAATCGAGATCACGATGTAGATCTTATGATTGAAATTTGTGATGGTCTTCGTCCTCCAATCGTTACAAATGCACCTGTAGGTTACACTGAATTAATGCAAGAATGTTGGAATTCTAATCCAGGCCAAAGACCAACAGCTACCGATATAGAATCAAGATTGAAGAATATAAAGATTTCAGAGTTGAATAATGAACTTAATAATAGTCCAACGATATCCATAAATTTGACAAACATTGGACCCATAGCTACAAATAATCCGAATGCCATCTATAAAAGTAGACCCTTAGGTGCGATGATAAGATCTGCAAATGTTCAAACTCGGTAAATAAGTTGTTTTGATAATTAATATAATTGGTGTTCGATTGCTAACGATTATATATTTTAAAGGTTAAAGAAAGTTGACGCTAAATCCGATTGATAATCATAAAGAAATGTTAAATTAGTCAAAGTTATTCTATATTTTACTTTATAGGACATTGCAAATTTAAAATTTACCATTACTCTTTTTTCTTTATATTATAATGTTAAGGCTTTGTATATCCGAATTTATTGTAATACTAAGCTGCGAGTGACTCTTACCACCTAAAATACTCATTAGACGACATTTTCTTATTTCACTTTATATATACAATCGAGTAAAATTTTAATGTTTAATATTAGAGATGTTAACGGTCGGTAAAAGGCTCTTGACACTCCGATTGTTTGACCGACCAATTTTAACTGACCGGTTTTAATAGTTATCGCATTATTGAAATGATTGAAGTTTAACATTTTTACTTATTAGAGAAAGTTTTTATTTAGCCAAATATTACGACATTTCTTTATATAAAATAATTTTTTTTTATTACGCGGAATTTCTTATTTTTCAAAATTTCAAATTTCAAATAAATATAATGATTGATAATTTAAATTACAAAGAATGCTTCAATTTAATTAAATTTTAGTTGTTCAGCTAGTCAAATCTCAAAAGTCCTCCTTTTCAACATCCCCACACATTTTTTCTTTTTATAAAAAAAAATGAATAAATTTATATATCAACTGCGACATTTTTTTAAACAAATATATAATAAACCTAGTGATAAGTGAAAATAAAGAAATAACCACAAGAATTGCTTGAGCTAAGACACTTAACAACAAATTAAAAACAATATCTTCATTACTTTTTCTATATTCAAAAAGCTCCAAGTTAAATATCGGAACAAGTAAGATGAGTTTTATTAATTGTAAAGCATCAACAAAGTATCCAATCCGGTCAACTTGTTTTTTTTCTAGTGTCTCTCGATGTTTGCCTAACCAATAGTAAAAATCAGAACCGCCTAAATTTAAAAATGAAATTTTTGTGAGTGAAAAAATCACACGTTTATTATAATGACGATTACTTTGAAACGGTAAATTAAATTTAAATGACGACTTACCAACAAAAATGCCAATAATGTTTATGAAACCAAAACTTCGATAACCGGTCAGTTTTTTTGTGTACTCGTAAACAACACAGATTTCTATCAAGCGAGGTATAATTTCACATGCACATAAGATCATAAAAATAGTGAACCCGATGGTCAAAAAACCTTTCTTGGTATAGTAGAGATAATAGTAACGAAACGTTATGATGGTGGATATGAGTGCAACAAATTGACATAGAGTCATTGCGATGGCCTTTCTTCTATTCCATTTATTCTTTTCCTCAAAAGGATACTTTTTTCCCATTTTTCCATTTTCAACATCAGGATTTGTCGACATTTTGAAAAAAAAATGTGAAGTTTTGAATTATGAAAAATTAATAAAAAGGTATTGTCTCCTTATACTGCCATTTAAATATTTTTCCTTATCTCTTTTAAAATTGATTAACACGGACAAAAAAATCATCGTCGAGTCTGTGTTACACAATGATAAAACTTCATTAATGTTTCATGAGTTACTGGTAACACAACCTATTTTTATAATGTACATATTAGGATGGGTGGAACCGTGGTTAAAAGTTTTAACCAGTTAACCAATCGGTTAACCGGTCCAAAATCCAAAAATATACGAAACGCTTGGTAAATTTGATTGTCAAATAGCAGGTACTTGGCAGTCGGGTTATTGGAAACTATCAACATATAATACTGTATATAAAAACAACCATATTATTTTATTTAATGTTATTGAACAAGTGACTTTTCTTCCGATTGGTCTTATTGTTTAGATTGTTAAACATATCCAAACAAATGTTCATTAAGTTTAAATTTGGACAATTACTCTTATTTACTGCATATATATACTCTTCTAAATAATTCATAACCCGTAGGGTTTCCGTTTGAAATACAAATATTTGAAAGTTTTTTTAAAATAATTTCAAACGAATATCGAAATGATTTCGGATATCGAAATTAATTTAAATCATTTCGAAAAGAATATATAAAAAATAAATAAATTAAATAAAAAAAAAAAGAATCGATCGAAGAAAAAATATATCGAAAAAACCAAAATACAAAAAAAAAGAATGAATACGAAAAAAATAAAAATCGATCGATAAGATCGATCGAATTGACGATATTCGAAATCAATTTCGATATCCGAAATCATATCGATATTCAAATATTAATTATATATTTTCGAATATTCGAATATACTATTTTC